GAACCGAAAATTCATCAGAAGAAGGGTAGGTGATTGGAAGTTTTTATGCCAGCTTCGAGATATTAGGCATAGAGTTCAGGTTACAATGAAAATAATCGGTTTTCTGAACCGGCGTCAACCAATCAGTCAGTGAATTTTTTTTGGTTGTTTTGGCCAGGGATGAGGTAAAAGAGAGATTCGGTGGCTTTCAGTGGCTTCTTCTCTCTAATGAGAGAAATTTTTCTATAGCGTCTAGTAACTTTAGAATTTGGTTATCAGCAAAATGATATGGAAATATAATAACAGCTTCTACAAATATAGCGCTTGCGCATTTGGACCAAAAAATATCACGTTTTAATTACCATTTTAAAACTGTTCTTATAAAGCCACCGATTCTAAATGAGGAAAGAAAAGACATGACATACAAATTTACAACAAAAGGTGGAGAAGTTATTTCAAGACTAAGGGTAAGAAAATTAAATATTGATGGTGTGTGGGGGCGAAAAGGAAATTAGACAACTATTTCTTAATTTGGTACCTTCATTTTAATGATTAGTAAGGCTCAGTTAGATCACCGGAGATACCCGAGTGAAATTAAGCTGATAATATCATCTTATCCACGGGATATCGACAACGCGGTTAGGTGATCCAACACACATCTGTGTTTCTCACGCTTCTGGAAAGGTATCGAAAAAAATGCAATGTCATACAAGGATTGAAAAAAGTCTTGGTTTCTAAATTTTCAGTCAGGATTTTATATATGGGTTTTCGGACTTCTCACTCAAATTTTAACAGCCTCGTCTCCAGGCCGGTTCGTGTTATCCGAGTGGGCGCAAGAGGTTTGGAACCAAGCGCGATAGCGCAGGCCAAGAATCGCGAGCAGGGTGGATCTGATCGCGAGTGACCTCTCCCGACAGGTAACGTCACATCCGAAATCGCCCAAAACAACTTGGAACCAGGTTTTTGTTTAATAGACCTTATTCACGATACCCATTGGAAACGATTTCACCCAAAAACGGACTGACGGGATAAAATCAATGCCACGTGGTTTCTCTGCCAATGCAAGAACCTGCAGTCATATTTCATTCATCAAAAACAACAGGAAGTAAAGAACTTTTTTTCTTATTGACGATTTTTAAAAACTCAAAGACACTTTTAAGTTTGTGGAACATGTTTCAATTACATGTTTCAAACATCACCTTTAGCCATACAACAAGCTATAACTGATTTAGCATTACACTTTAAATTTTTACTTACCGTTATAGTTCGTTTAGTTTTCTCCCATATGACTGAATGAAGATGACGTTTGAAACATCGAAACATGTTCCACAAACTTTTAAGTGTCGTTGTGTTTTAAAAAATTATTGCTGCTTTTGGGCTATCAAGAGCTCATTGACGATTATGGCAAATTATGGGTGGAAGTAATTGTTTTTTAATTTCTTGGATGAAGAAGTTACCGTAGATGTCTTCACAACGAACAATGACGACGCAGAATTCGTCGCATCTCGAACTGTACATTTTGCAAGACTAAAACCGTCGTCTCTTTTGTGAGAATGAAAAAACTCGACCTCGATTACTCGTATTTGTAACTTTTTCTCACTGGTTTGCTCCCTGAAATACCACGTGACGTTGCTTTTATCCCATCCTAAAGCGCGAGCAAACATGGCGCCAATCCCTGGGATCCATGTTTTAGTTTCTGGGTATGTCAACAACAACATCAGCAAGTTTATTTCAAATTAAGTATGGCTTACAAAGCTTGTGCTCGTGATTAGGGAAGGCTATTCGAGGCGGGTACAAGAGAAAAAAGAAAATTCTATAAATATATATACATATCCTGAAAGCAATTGAGCGAGTGTTGACCGTTATTTTTTTGTCAATTTCTTGACAAATACATTGGTTCATTTGCCGCTCGAGACTACAAACGTCGGTGCCCTGTCGGGGAATTTCACCATGTGACTCTTTTGGGGACGCTATTCCATGCCACTTCCTTGAGCTATTACGACTTGTCGAGGGAAACTGGGTGCTAAATTTATTTCTCAAAAACAGTCCCATAGTGCAATTCGACACAAGGCATACCCGACCCAGTCTCACGCGTATCCCTAAAATGTCCAATAAAAATGCCGGAATTTCGTAAAATACCTTGACCAGTCGTGGCTGGATTTAAAAAAAGAAGAAGAATTTAAGAAAAGAAAAAAAGAAAGAAAAAAACAAGCAGGTATCGACATTGTAACGACCCATCGCAGTAACAAACGTTTTGAAGGCCATAATTACTCGTCTCTCATTCTATAGGGATAACAATCCTTCATGGAAAGAAATCGCAAGGAACAAATCCAGGCTAGTTAAAAATCTACTTCAAGACTACGATAAGAGAATACGACCTTACACTGGAGGTAAGAATAATGTGGCTGTTTTCTTTGATAATCCTAAACCAGCTCCAGTCATTAAATGACATCCTCGGGGAAGCCGAAACAACTGTTCGTAAAAGTGCAGAGTTCTGTGAACCGTATTGAATCATTGGTTTGTTATGTATATATTATCGCGTTCGTCTGGACACACCCTAATCTTGGTGTTCCTGTGGTACAAAGCCACGAGTTTTCGAGGTATCGTGGGGACTGCCGATTAGCCGCTCCCACTGATTTTATCAGGGGCATCTCGGCCAATAAACTGGACTCTTTCCGACTCGATTGACATACGCGGATCCGTAATCAATGTTTACCTCTAGTATTTGTATTATGTATTCCGTATACCATTCCATTGTTTTGAACACCTTAAGTTATTATTTCAATAAAGTAATGGAAGAGTATGTTTCACTTCAGTAAACTCATTGGCAAGGCGTATTTAATTGGATATGACAAGAGCTTCTATGCCATCTTGAAAGTAATAACCTCACATTACGAGCTCGGTCATTATTTTTAAGAAGGTCTTTGGGAAAAGGAATTAGCATACATCTATGCAATGTGAATCATGCCAAATCAACGCTTTCTGTATACCTGTTGCATTGAATACTGAGAACAAACATTGTTCATTTAATGATTAGAAACAAAAGATAGTACCTGAGGGGTATCTGCGGTCATTATTGGGAAATTGCCTCAAATACAAAAATGCGTCGATGGTCAGTACGGCATTTCAAACGAAGATTTTGTCAAAGTGGCTGCAAATTAAACTGTTTACTCACTGACAAGACTGTCCGTTAAAAAACGGCTGTTTCAGTATTTTTTATCTACGTTTAGGTTATGTTCACACAATACTGGAAAGCTATTGGTGCCGACGCGAAAAGCTATAGGTAAACTAACTCTACTTTAGAGATCGGAGCGCTGCAGCTTCGCTCCGTTACAGAAATCGCGCAGAAATCGCCCTTCTTATATGTGAACAGAAGCCTAATCTGGTCTACGGTTCTCATGCCGGCTCAAAAGCTATTTGGTGTAGTTTGAACACATGTAGCCTTGAAATCACTAGCGATCCGTGCAATCTGATTGGCTCTCAGCAGTGTGATTTATTCCCAAATCGCACCATTTTTTGCTCTAAATCGCATCTTTTTGCCAGCCAATGAAAAAGGAACACTAAAACAGCACAACCAACGCCAGCGCGCGTTCAATTTTGAAATCACGCGTATGATTTCAGATCAAATTGCACTCCACTCAGTTGAGTTACCATTACTAATAACATCACTTGAATAAGTACATCTTTCCCTTGTAAAACAAATCTTCTGTTATTCATTTTCCTATTTATATATATGTAATTATTTCTCTCACTTTCATTCAGTAACTTAAAAGTTAATAACCACTGGACAGATGTTAAACTTCGCGAGTCAAAGCTTATCTAAATTATCGGTTCACATGATCAAAAAGGCCATTTGCAAGAGGGCGTCATTTAGCTATTGCTAAAAAAAATCCATTTGGCTTCTGCATTCATATTTAAATTTGCTAATTCCAGCGAGATTTTAGTAACAAAATCCCTAATTTGCACAAGAAAACAAAACTCTCAAGAATTCTAGGAGTAGAATGAAATGACTTCATCTTGTAAACGGGATATTTAATATATACAGACACCTCATTCCTAATTTACTGCGCGCAAAAAAAAGAAAAAGAATCAGAATCCCGAATGTAAATTCTTCCTTGAGAACTGCACAAATGTTCGCAACGGTTGACAACAAAATTACGCACCAGAAAAGAGATACTCAGGTAGATAGGAGAAAAAACTCGACTTATACAGTTCAGCATGTCCATTGGTAATGATGCACCCATAGCTGTAGATATTTTGAAATAAACCAAGCTATTATCCTTTATCTTTTTTGCTTACAGAGAAGCTTTTCCAAAGTTTTTATAACTGCCGCTCGAAGGTCTCTCAGACGCCAGCAATATAATAAGGGATTGATCGATGAATTGAAAAAAGCCACCGTTTCGGCAAGATGCCATGTTTTTGTCCAATCCTTATATGAAATGCTCGAAAGACATATCGATATGAGAATAGGAATGTAGCATAGGATCATGATAATGTAAAAAATAAATGTGTTCATAGCACTTCGTTTATTTTGCAGCAAATTTGTTGTCTGTCCCTCGCTAATACTTTGCGACGCAGCCATTTCTTGAGCTCGAATCTGAATCTGATGCTGTCGAACTATCAAATAAATTTTCACGTAAGAGAATGTTGAAAGTATGATACAAGCACAAAGGCCAACAGCCATCATTCCAAAATATGTAGGCCAGTGCCACAGATACAGGCCTGAAGAAGAAACGTTGCCAATCCAAATTATTATTATCGATGCATATGTTACCCTAGGTCTTGTTATAATGGCTGACTGATATCGCATGGGATATTGAAGAGCAATAAATCGATCAACGCTTATGGCTGTCATTGTGCAGATAGAGATCCCGCAAAGAATGAACTCAATCATTTCCGACAACTTCTCGAGAAGTGAATTCACGGTGAGTTCACTTGCAACGAAAAATGGCTGGGAAATTAATCCAACAAGAAGATCCGAAACAGCCAAATTGAGGAGCATCGACATTGAAGATGATCGAATGCGTGGTGTCTTTATCATGGCGAACACCACCAATGTGTTACCACTAATAGAAATCAGGATCAGTGCAACGTTTAAAGCACAGTTTACAACAACAAGAGTTTTTTGCGTCGCACATTTCTCACCTTCGGCAAAAACATCCGTCGAGTTAATATTACATTTAACCGTTGAGTTCATTTCAAACCAAACGATATAATTTTTCTGTTTTTCCACGTAACCAAGAAACTAAAAGACAATTCATACAATAATTATGCCCGAATATCCTGGCAAAAGACAAGCAGCGTAGGGTCTTATTTTCTTTTACCATTCAGATTTGGAGAACAGTTGCTTTTATGACGTTATCTTTTGTTAAAACCAGTCATTAACACGTACTTGAATAAATGTATATATCATACAATCTTATTGTCCTCGAAAAATATATTATTTCGTAAAACATATCTTTCTACCCTTAGGGAATATTTTCATTTGCAATACATAATTGAATGAGATAGTACTGATTCTTTTGGTTTTTATAAGTTCTGACTAAACATGACATACGCTTATCAGTTGTCGGAGCTAAAAAGAAAGAAGCCATTATTCCCCTGTCAATCTAAGCTTCAACTTAAATCTTAATGATCTCCTGTAACATTAGGAAATTAGGCTTGATTTTTTTTGGGAAGGGTTTGCCTACGTAGTTTCAAATGGATGGAGCCGGCTGACTTTGAAACTTGTTTGCCCCGAATGATTTTTCATCAAAAATTGGAGCACCACACAAAAATAAGATTTTTTTTTCCATTTGAAGTTCTTGCAGTGTTGTTTATAACTAGGCAAAAAGAGAGTCAAAACTAAAATTCGTTGAATGCACTGTTATTCGTAATTACGAGGGTTGTATTGTAATCATTTTCCTTGAAACGCTAAAAGCTAGGTCTAAAATTTAACAAATAATTATCGACTTCATTTATTTTCACAATTCAGAAAAAGAGGCGAAAGCAAATGTGTTGAATACGGACAATGTATTAATCTCCTTTTTTAGTTCCTGAATGTCCTTTGAAGGAAATCTTAACACTAGTCTGAGCAAGTCTGCCATATTTTAGTGTTAGCAACATTGTTAGCGGTTTAAGAGACTAAGTTCGTCCAATCTGCTTAATCGTACATATAAGTGCATTTCAGTGTTAAAAGCGGCCTAACGCGTAACAAGTTATTGAGGAAATCAGCGAAAGATGATACCTTCGTTAAAAGCATCATCCGTGCATTCAAAGTTTTCAAGAATGAGTAATTCCTCAACCCTCGCACTCGCTGAACGGTCAAATATATGGTCAAAACCTTGGGTACCGGACGCAGATAACGTAAAACAAAAGACTTCTTTGTTTTCTGTTCAGGGAGAAATCTGTTTGGTATACGCCACTTCCACGTGTCCCATAATGCACCATGTTTATGGCGAAGAGGGTTGTATGAACCCACTTTTTGTTCATTCATATCTTTCTAGATATTCTAATTGTTTATATCTGCAAAGTATATAGTTTAATTGTTGTTATCCCTTTAAGTCCTGATAGTGAACAACATCAACTTTCTCCTAACAATATCGACACATAATCGACAGAAAAGGTTATTAGAATTTAAAAAAAAAAAGATCACCAAAGGGAAATGATTTGATCATTTATAAAATTATCTCATTTAGTTCTTCAACGAAAAGTATGGAGATTAGCTTCCCACACAGGCGTTTCTAGGAGAGCTCGTATTTCGTCCCTCCCCACAAACGCCTGCTAGCCAATCACATTTTACCTTCCAAATTCTGGAAGGTTGACCTTGACCGCAAGGTAACCCGATAATTACGCGATCTCCGCGAAACAGTGAGAAAGCGCTAATAAGTTTTAAACTCAGAGCGGCAAAACTTTGATTTACTCAGCCAGCTTTTAGAATACTCCGTTCAATGCATTAACTTAGCGAAGGAAAGAAAAGAAGGAAAAAGGTAACTCTAGGATCACGTTTTTTCACTATCACGAACTTATGAGGTTGTGTTAAGCCTGTCAACACTTTGTTTCAAAACCATAAACAGTGGGAAAGGAATGTTGTTCTCGGTTAAGCAGACGTTTCTGGGGAGGGACGAATATGAGCTTCCCTTAGAAACGCCTGGGAGAGAGGCCATATGGAGATCAGCCTAGAGAATTTGTAATAATAATGATAATAATAATGTCGGTTCTTATTAAGCCCATTTCTTTCCCCAATGCGCTTTACATTATGATAAGAAAAAGAGAAAAATAACAAAAATCTGTCGCCCAAGTGACATGTTATATATCAAGTATTGTAAACCTTAAAATACTAAAACAAAAAAAAAATGTCAAGCATAAAAATCGATGGAAATATTTCCGGAATAGCAATGTTTTCAGTTTTGTCTCAGATGTAGTAACACTTTCAATAGTATTTGTATGTGGTTATTGGTGCTTGAAGGGTTAAGTCACTATTTTTCAGTTCTTCCCATGGACGTTAAGGTGGACATGCTGGTTTCCAACATTTGGGCGATTGAAGAAGCACGAATGGTAACAGAGATACGAGTGTTAAGCAATGTTAGCTAATGTTATGTAAATATGATTCTGGGAGGTGAAATCAAAATCATCAACCCCCCAAGAAAGTTCCCAGCACCCAGATTGAGTTATTTATATTCTACGCGCTGAACTACAGTTGATAGCAAACAACAGCGACGATTGACAAAGCTTTGTTTCTTCTCCAATTTAAACATTTTAGACCAATAAATTCAAGTAAAAATCGGAAACAATTCCCAAGGCCCGTACATTATCCATGTCTCAGGTGTAAGATATTCTTTGCTTTTGCTTAAATAGGACTTTACTATTGATGTCTATCTAAGGCAGTACTGGAAGGATCCTCGTTTGTCATTTCGCGAAACGAAGCTACAAAAGACGCTGACACTAAACAGGCAAACGATCGAAGAAATTTGGGTTCCAAGCACATACTTCTTCAATGCTAAGAAAGCTTACTTCCATGACGTTACAACAGATAATTATTTACTCCAGATTAACTCAAGTGGAAATGTCTTTTATAGTGTCAGGTAAGAACTTACCTGTCAAGGAAACCGATGAAAAATAGTACTACAGTGAATATATTTGGGTTTCAGTTACGTATCATCTTCTTCAATGCTGAGGAGGGGAGGCCTAACCACAGGCACCCCAAGCTGACGAGTGAGAATCGTTGCCCAAAAGAAATATTATATAAACTGTGAAAGGTTTGAAACCTTTAACCTTTACTCAACTTCAACATTTTACGGGGATAATTAGGCTGGCTTGCAAATAGCGCAGAGCTAATCGCTACAAGCCATAAAGTACAGAGATGACTTTCTTATACAGATATACATTGTACATTCTACCATACAAAATACATACCTTAACATAAAACTTTGTGCAACATATGTACGCTAAACTTCATTTACTAAGCATTAAGAAACAAACAAACAAACAAAAACAACTACAATGCAATGCGCGAAGAGGAAAGTTGCAAACGAAATTAAGTCAGTAATGTTTCATTATATTAATTTACACATGAATTTAATGAAGAACAAAGATTGAAAGATTAGTTGGTATCTCATTCCAGATTTTAACATCAACACGTGAAAAGGCATTTCTATGAATATTACGTGCAAAGTGTTTCACACAAAAATGCTCAGATGTTGATGAACGTGTACTATAAGAGTGAACTCTGGAGATTTTCGAGAACAAATTCGAAATATTAATTGGTCAGGAACAGAACTCGAGTTTACATCATACATTAAATTAGCAACTTTTTCAAAGAACAGGAATTCTAAGGGAAGGAGTTTTCCCTTTAGGAAGAAAGGTATTGCATGTTCCTTTGCTTGAGCAAAGTATATAAGACGGAGATCACCTCTTTGAAGAATAAGAATTTAATTAACAAAGGTCTTAGATGCATTGCCCAAGAAATTAAAGCATACATTATACAAGGTGCAATGAGAGACTTGTAAAATGATATCAAGAAGGGTTCGAGTTGCAGGAACAATATGCCGTAACCTCGCAATTAGAGACCAACAGTTTTACAGTACTTATTTTTGTTGTGAGGGAACAAATATGTTGTTTCCAAGATAGGTTTCCATCAATTAATAATCCAAGGTATACAATGTAGTTCTTTTGTTCAAGACTAACAATCTTATGTTTTTCATTATCAAAGATATAAATCTGTGATTGATAGTTGAGCTTTTTCTGATGTGGGCGAAAAATAACGAAGTTAGATTTCTTAAGTTTGTTTGACGTTCGCCAATTAAAAAGATTGTGTAATGCAGTTTTTACAATTGAATCTAATGTTTTAAGATTTTTAACAGGGTAAACGACGTTATTATCTGCAAAAAGGAGAAACTTAAGTTTATTACAGCAATGATGAATATCATTGACATATAGTAAAAAGAGTAGAGGCCCTAGAACAGAGCCTTGTGGTACACCGCAACTAACGTTTTCTTTATCCCATATGTAAGAATTAATAGACCTTTTTATCGATACGGCGGCCATATTTAATCTGTCAGATTTAACGAATACTATGGGATGCCCACGGGGCACTCGCTCTGTATTTACGCGCGCTTTTCGGGCAAAAAGAGAACTTCAACGCATATTTATCGGGAAAAAAGGTATTCGTTATTACATCCAAAGACGGCACAACGATCTTTTTTTCTCATTACAACCTTTTTCTAGGAATACTTAAAGAAAAATTAGCCCGAAAAGCGCGCGTAAATACTGATGCGAGTATATCAGATCGTGCTTATGCCCCCTGGGCATCCCATAATACTCCTTAAATCCAATTAATTCAATATGGCTGTCGTATCGGTAAAAAGGTCTATTTCAGTTGTTTGTGTACGATTAATTAAATAAGAGAAGAAACATTGATTAACAATCCCTCGAAAGCCATAATAATTAAGTTTAACAAGTAATATTTTATGGTCCACAGTATCAAAGGCAATCAGTATAATGAAATCAATAAACACTCCACAGGAAAATAGTTTTTTGTCCATATTGGTACGGATAGAACCCAGGATTCATTTCATAAGTAGGTTGAGCATGATGCTCAGGGTGAACGCAGCCCTGAATAGGACTGTTGTTGAGAGTGACTAACGTTTCGACAACCTGTGCGGTAGTCATCCTCAGACTCAAACAATGGTCATGAACAACATATACATTAGTTTTCATGCTAAAAAAATGACTACTGCACAGGTTGTAGAAGCGTCAGTCACAATCAACAACGGTCCTAGTGAGTACTACATTCACCCGAAAGATCATGCTAAACCTACTCAAGAAATACTATAAGGGTTTGTACGGGGATTTTATCGATCGTTATTTAGGGCACAAGAATAGCACTAAGAAATGCTTAATCACAACAGAAAACAATACTTCTTCTACAACAGCAGAACTAAAACTCGCAAGAAACGGCCAGAAATGCTAAGAAAACATCATGAATAACACAAAAAAAACGATTGCTAAAACCTCCATACAAACCCTGGCTTATAATATTTCTGTTACGCAACAATTCTCATTAGGGAGAACGATTCTCACTGTTTTTTCTGCCTCAGAAAACGATCCCTAAAATCCTCATACAGACCCTTATGTTAAGCAACGATTCTCACTCTAAAGGAGGTCTAAAGGAAAAGAAAAGAACTGAGAAAATGCTAAAAGAATGGATCCCTATGAATGGTCATGAATAACATACATTTGCTGAATGCTAACAAAACTATTACTACTAATATTAACTGGTGAAAAGTAATCACACAATAGCAAGAAAGAGAAGGCAGTGAAAGTTGTAGAGGAAATATTTGTCACAACCGCCATGTTATTGGTACCCTTCTAGTAGAGTCCCTTCGATCTTTCCTAGATAATTATCGAGGGAAGATGGAAGCGAATCTGCTAGCAGGGCATGTTATTGGTCTTCGGGACCGGCGGATTTGCTTCCCAAATTTTTGAACGACCAAAAACTCAGGGAGACAAAAAAACAAAAATGTTAAGTAAAATTTCGGGTTTGTTTTGTCATTGCTTTTCCGTATCTTCGGGCCATGAAGAGATAAAAGATATTTGCTTCTCAGAATTTTTAGCCTAGTGGCCTATACTAACATGTTTTTCAATTTATAATGCTTATTATTATTCTCATAGGCTCACGGTAACGATGGCATGTAACCTGAATCTGCGGACGTTTCCACATGATGTGCAGACATGCACAGTGATGCTGGAGTCATGTGAGTCAAATGTCTTTTCAATATTTCGGGTACACGCCTGGATCGACTTAATTTTAATCTCCAGCCACTGTGGTGTCTCGCAATGGTGTGGTCTTTGTAAATACTTTTATGACGATTAAGTAGGTGTTTTCCTGTTTGATATTATTTCTTAGTTGGGCAAAACATTTTATGAAATTTGAATTTTAAGTTTGGCAACATTTTAAAATTACTTTATTTTCAAAGATCCTTTGCAGCAATACATACATCCATACATACTTTATTGTTACCTCTTCAAAGGGGCTTTTCAGGAACAATGATTATTTTACACTACTTATAATAACTGATTACAACACTTAATCTAATACTAATTACAATGTTAGCTTATTACTAATTACAATGTTATAACTTAACTAAGAATTATTTACAAAATTATCTAAAAGCTGGCTCCTGAAGGATCCTTAAGCAATGAATTATTAGCCACTTGAGACATTCGTTTTCGATTTCTCCTGGGTGTCGAAATTAACAATCCTTCTGCACAATTTTGGGGCGACAACAAGGTGTATTTTTCACCCCCCAAAATTGCGGACCCATTTTTTCCAGTTTTTCCTGGGTATTGAAAACCATCCTCTGCATTTTTTTGGGGGGGGGAGGGGGTGGGAGTGACAGCAAGGTGTATTTTGGCTAAATGTGAAAGTGGTTCATGCTCTCGCTTTCTGCTGTGAATTAGTGTTGGCAAGAGTAACGCGGAAGAGAAAATCAAAGTCTATTCCTTTGTTTTATGAGACTGAAATCCCTGTGTTGATGACTAATGGACTTTTTGTTTTTCACCTGAGCAGATGGGTATCAAGCTACAGATGTGTACTACAGATGGAATTCACGCAACTCTACTGGAGATGTAGTGTACATTGCAGAGGACTTGGAAATGCCTCAGTTTACGATAACCAAGGTTGAATTGGAAGAGAAAACGAATATCTATAATATCGGTACAATTATGAAACTTATTATTATTATTATTCATTTGAATACTTTCTCCTTTCTGATTGGCTTAAATATCTCGGTTAGTTTTTGACCAAATTTGGAGGATGATGTTATCCACCGGGCAGCGCGATATCTTACTCAGTGAGCTAGCCTCAGGTAATAACTGTCATTCAATGTTAACAAATTGCAAAGCAAATAGAATTGTCTTTTCTTCCCCCGATGCGACTGTCAAAGAGTGAGTCTCACATAAAAGCTTGTGTTGGAATAAGGCTATGTAATTTACCCGTTGCGCGTGTTATTGCTGCGAGTCCCCATGCGAGCAGCGCAGTAACCTTTGGGTCTTCTGTGGTTTCTTGGGTGTCCTGCCTCTCCATTCAGGAGTTACAATCTTAATTTATGTTTTTCAGGGTAATTTAGAAAATATGTTCAGCAGTGTCATCATAACTTAATTTTAAATCGTAAATGCTCCTATTGCGTCATTCTAATTGTCCTGAGTTTCGCACATTGTGATGCGCGTAGACCTTTATCCTACAACTATACTGTAACGTTACTAAGAGACTAGTCTAGCCTCGCCCCAAAAATTCGGTGTGATAATCACGTGCGGTTCGTTGAGAGAGTGTGGACGGCCATTTTTGCTGTGCAGTTGTTGAGGTTGTTTCGAGACGTTATTAAAGAAGAGTTTAAGATGGAATCCACAAGGACATTGAGTAATTTTAATTTTTCAGTGGACGAAAACCTTGTACCAGAATCATTTCAAGAACATTGCATTCTTTTTTTACATTTTTCAAGGGCTAATGATGTAATTAGTCATCCGCAATAACGCCAAAGAAAATTTCTCATGGGAGTCCGAGAAAATGAATGTCAAATGTCAAACAAGAATTGTGAAAACACAAGTAAAACTGTGAAAATTTTTTACATTTAAGATGTCATTTTGTGAACTTTGACAGTTATTTTCTCGGGCTCCCATAAGAAATTTTCTTTGGTGTTATTACAGATGACTAATTACGTCTTTAGCCCTTGACAAAGGTATAAAAATAAATGCAATATGCTTTAAATTATTCTGGCACAAGGTTTTTGTCCATTGAAAATTAAAATTACTCAATTTCCTGGTGGATTCCGTCTTAATCACTGTTACAATACTAGATGATTTAGTTACAGGGTCTTGATTAGAGCAATGCATATGTGGGTTTATAGTTTCTCAGATGATGTTTTTCTGCCCTTTATCTTCTCGCAGCATTGCTGTACTTGCAACTAATAACCTCCGGTTTACATCGCCATGTAAGCGAGCATTTTTCCTTTTAGTTGGCTGCAATTTACCAGACTATTCACGTTCACATCTATAAATAACGTTTCAGGACCTCACTCAGCGTTAGTAGCAAAATTCACCTTCCATCGTCGTCTTGGTTACTACATGATTCAAACCTATATTCCATCCATGCTCACGGTGACGATATCGTGGTTTTCCTTTTGGATATCTCCGGATTCTCCACCAGCTCGAGTAGCCCTGGGTATTACAACAGTGCTAACGATGATCACGATTTCTAACAGTGCGCGTGCGCCGTTGCCCAAGGTGTCTTACACTAAGGCCATTGATTGGTTCCTGTTAATGTGCTTGGTTTACGTGTTTGGAGCACTCATGGAATACGCCATTGTGAACTTTTACTCGTGCAAAGTACAGTACAAAAGACAAAGGGATACTAAAAAAGCTGAAAAGGAGGTACAACTCACGGGTTAAAAGGGGCTGAGTTACGGCTGTCTTGTTCAAGAGCTTAAGCAACTGCGTTTTTGAGCGACGGACGTCAACCGGAAGTGGACTTTTCGCATCATTGGGCAGTTGTTTGGTTCAGACTTGCGGTTAAATCATCTTTATAAGAGGAAAGCGACTTAGCAATACAAATTTGTTAGCGTCAAGGCAGATAAAAAGGGAGAAGGCATAACTTCCGGTTGACGTGCGTCGCTCAAAAACGTCTTTGCTCAAGCTGTGCCAAGTACGCGTCCTCGCTCGCTAAGAAACTTGACAAATTACTCGTCAATGACAAAACCACAGCTTCTTGTCAAATAAATATGTCTCCCAAGCTTTTTATCAAGCCGTATCAACGACAAAGTGAGCTACCAAATAACTGCTAGGTTAACAATTTCCAAACACCGCAATTGCAAACCGTTTCAGTCTTCTTCAAGTTTATCCATCGGTGCCTCCTTTGTATGTCCTTTGTTTTTCATACATTAATGTTTCGGGTGGTTATTTTTGTGTTTCACTCAATTTCTCGGCAGTTTCCACTGTTGGAATTTTGATAAATCTCGTGTCGCAGCTCCTTAAAAAGGCAAAGCTTGTTCTGTTTATTAGAAGAAAAAGGTTGGCATTTGACCGCACAGAAAGGAATGCAATAATGCAGATCATTAACGGATAAAAAATTTTGTTGTCAATTATAAAAATAATGCCGTCCTGTAGATTTTTTACATTTAAGGCAAATATTTCATGCATTCTAAAAGGATTGTCCCACTGGGCCAGCAGACAAGTGACTATGTGATCATGAGGTAGCTCTGTATGTAACTGCATTGAAACGAGATGATGGATAATCACTGAAGTTTCTTATTTTGCTCCAAGTCAGGGATCCGGATTCCAGAATTCTCAAAAATTTCTGGTTGTGCATCCCGGACCACGGGAAAATTTTGCTCAATTGAAAACCGGAATCCTAGGCTTTGGAATCCCGGATACCGCCCAAAGAATCCAGAATCCCACTAACTTTTGGAATCCAGAGTCCAAGTTCCACTGAAAAAGATTGGAATGCAGTACCTAGAATCCGGAATCCACGGCGTGGAATCCAGAATCCAAGACTGTCTTGGATTCCATTACTAAGGGAATGGGGCGAATGATAAGCAGGTGTTAATGACGTCAAAATGAAGTGGAGCATCATTATTTTCACTTGTTCTTCAACTTTTCCTCTAAAAATCAAAAGTATAGCGGCAGTTAAATACATATGATTATTACTATTATTATTTATTTATTAATTTATTTTTGTAATTAGTTCTTACAACAAGAGTCTGAGCTTGATAATGATGAAGAAGAAGATAAAGTCAATCCATGTTTAAATGGTTCGGCCAAGAAAAAAGACAGTAATGGAAGCTACAGATTGGCAGTGGTCATGTAAGTCAAAGATGTTACAAAATTTCTAACATTCTTAATAATGTACGTAGTATTTGGGACAAAATGATCACGTGATGCATGAACGCAAGAGGTCTGGCTACTAGGTTATGATGTACACTGACGGTGCTGTTACACCGACGAATTTTAGCGTTACAACATTGTTTCGAATGGCTGCAATACTGTTCTAACATTTGAACCCTGTGTGCTCCAAAAATTGTCCTTGCGAATCGTCCGTGTAAAGATCACATAAAGGTGATGTTACACGGGACGATTCGCAACCGTACGACGATTTTTAGCGCGACACAACTTTGCAATATTGGAACAATGTTGCAACCATTCGAAACAATGTCGCAACAATGATGCAACACTGTGCTGCGCTAAGACGCGTCGTTGCGAATCGTCTCGTTTAACACTGACCTTAATTTACGAAATTAGGCATTTCGCGTCGTCGTCGTGCAAAAAGGGCAAAGAAATGTACAAAAAAGCGTGAAGCACGTGCAAAGTTGTTGTTTTGGTGTTTTTTTTGACGTTCTCGTTGCCGTCGCGTCGTTGAATCTTAAGGTAATGTTGCATGAGACGATTCGTAACGACTATTTTTAGCGCAACACATGGTTCAAATGTTGGAACAATGTTGCAGCCTTTCGAAACGACATCGCAACAATGTTGTAACCCTCTGTTGTGCTAAAAATCGTCGTTGCAAATCGGCCCTTATAACATCACCTTTAAAGTCCCTATTAACGTCTTGCTAAGCTGCGCTGATATCCGTGTTTTGGCTTAATTTGAAATTAAATGGCTCGTCGAGACACTGAAGTAGACTTTGGTATTACCTCTCCGGGATTGAGTGTACCTTCGTTTTCAGTACAACGTACATTATCGCCTTGATACAAACTTGGAAGAGAAGGCCAGCACCTTCGAAGTGTCTGCGCTTAAGTGATGGCGTTTTTAAGCTACACACACAAACTGAGAGTGAAACCTTTTCCCCTTAATCATGCTTTGACGCTAACAAATATGTATTGCTAAGTGACGTAACCCTTACAGAAAAGATTGAAAGAAAAGACGTCCGGTTGACGTGCTTCGCTCAACGACGCCCTTACTTAGAGGGTGTACCCATGTCTGAGATTACAAATCATGTGATGATTAATATAATCAATATTTTTGATTCCCTGAACCAGTTTTTCCTTTATGTTTTTTTTCAGAGACAGCGAGAATCCATTCTTTCCGCGAACGAAACTGAATAAGCAGCACCGCTCTAAATCAAGATTTTCTCGTCGACCAAACCTTAAGGTAAACAGTGTGTTGGAAAGTAAGCAGCCGTGAATAAACATAGCTTGATTGTGGTAGTCCTAATAACACCAAGAAATTAGTCAGAATTTTTTAAAGATGAACAAGAGGTTTGATAGACTGCTCCATTTTCTCTTTAGAGATCGTCGAGCGTGCGTGTGAAAAAAAAAACCGCGGGGAATTTTTTGACCACTAGCGCAAAGGAGCTGGGGTGGGTAGAAAAGAAAATGGTCGACGTTAGCTTTTTCATGTTTTTTTTTTCCGCCTTGCATTCTTTTTTCGGCTCCGTGTACACTCGAAAAATTAGTCGCAAAAAAAAAAAAGAAAAAAGAAAAAACTTCTACGAACAGGTATTGGAGCACTTGTGAAAATTACAGCAATATATCGACTTATATATCGACGTCACAATCATCAAAACTTAAGGTTTTTGATTTGGTACCCTACTTTTTAAATTTCGCAAGCATCGTCGGATTGAACTAAACTAATAGTAACACTGATAAAAAACAAACAAACAAAAAAGAAATATAACGCTCAATTAGGAGCCCATAACCTGGAGCGAGCAACTCCCATACAAGGCCTATGTCACGGTGTTTTTACTGACCAGTTTATTTTTAGACACATTTTAGGGCACTTTTTCTCGTGAAATTAGAATCTATAAGATGTCAAAGAGGAAAAAGAAACTACGTAATTAAAAGAGAAAAAGTATCATTTTTAGGTCCGTAGGTTTTGCTTACTGGTTTGTGGAATTTAAAAGATATTCAAAATTCGCACCAACACCGTTCTAAAAATAAACTGGTCCTTGAAAACGCCGTGACACGAGTGCATGAAACTTGCTCGCTCAGGGTTATGGGATCCTAGCTCTATTATATAACGTCTCTACTTACTGAAAACAACTGTGATGAAACCAACAAATGAATGATAATTTATGCCAAAGGGTTTGTACAGGGATAGCAAATTTCGCCTGGATCCGTGATAACAAACCAGGGTATGTTCAATGTACCATTTTCTTGTAAAAAAAAAAAATAGAGGATATCACATGGCCGCGCGGAACGTCTCTACTTCTCGTGTTGAAAAAAATTTCACTGTTCGATGAAACCAAATATTTTTCAAATGAATGATAATTTATTTATTACATAAACACCAATGGTTTTTACTTAAATAGTTTTTTGGTCAGAAAGGTGCGGTTTTTTATGAAGCCATAGCAAAGGTGATATTTTCACATATGAAGATATCAAGTTTTCGCGCGAAAGCTCACTTGGTATTTCTTTGGTGTTTATATAATAATTTCTTTTTCTTCACAGGAAAGGGATGACCTTGAAGATAACGACTCTCAGCCTAAAAAATATCATTACTTCTGGGACCCTTATGAAACGACATTCGTTAGTTCAGAGACCGCATACACAGTGGACAAATACGCCAGGATATCCTTCCCTGTCACGTTCGCATTGTTAAACTCGATCTACTGGATCGTGTATGCACCGGATAAAGTCATCTTCTAACTTGCACACGTGAAGGAAAGATTTTTCATGAGATCTCAAAAAGCCGTACGCTCAAGTGGGCCAGTACGGATTTTCAGTGACGAGCGCTTTAGAACTTTACATCTCCTGAATGCATCCGGGCTCCGTCTGCTTGACCCGTGGTCACGTGTTTTCCTCTAGATGTTTAAGGAATGGCATGTTATGGAGGCATAAAATCGTTGTTTTCCTATATAACAATGGGAAAAGCCTAGCTTAACGAGTCAAGCCGTATTTATAGGTATCCCATAACAAATTATTGACACTCACTCAGTTTGAGGAAGTGTTATGACATTTTGCCTGTGCCGTAAAATAAATAAATACATAAAATAAAACGTGGATCAAGGTTGATCTATGGTAGTACATAAGCCGTGACGGTCCTTAATTTGATAACGATCGAAGCGAAACTACCTACTGTTATATTGCAGGAGCCTTCTGAATAATGGTGATGTTCTGATTAGTTTGACTAATGCATGCCATGTTATCTTGTGTTAGGGCGAACAAACTCTTATTTAAGCACGGTGACTGTCCAAAGAAACTTATCAAAAGTAGTCGCAGTTGACACGGTTTTCATTTTTCGTTTCTTCCTTCTTTTTTTTAGTAGTTTTCATGTTTTCATCCAATTGCTTCAGACATTGCGTTACACATATGTTACAACCAAAGAAAATCGCGTTCAATAGCATGGTCATTATTATCAGAATTTAGGCTATGAAACTGTTCACAAGGCACTGGACGAATTTCTGAACGGGTCAAATTTGCGCCCTCAGCTTTTCCATTCACACGCGGAACATGGGCGGATCGTAATGCCACTACAAAATAATAAAAAATAAAAATTCGATCTGGTTCGTAAGTTCCGTGTGAACAAAGCGAAAATATTCAACGGTTCTGTATGAACGAGGTGTCCTGTCAATGTCAAAACTTTCGTCCGATGCCGTGTAAAGCAAATGGTGACGAAAACACAACTACTATACCAGAAATAGTTTTATTTCCAAATTTTCAAAAATAATTAGTGAACATTGTGCTTAAATTACATTTATTTTGCTATTTTCATTTGGTAGTAAAATGATTAGGGTTAAGCGGTTTCCTTTCCATAGATTAGTAGTTTCGTGATCTTCAATCGTGTAGGTCACTTTCAAAGACGTTCTGCTTAAGATCCGCGTCACATCCAAGACTTTTCGCCATTTGACAAATGCTTGATGATTCCCTCCTCAGCTGTACCAAAAGTAAAGTAGTTAAACATGTTTAAAACCGTGGTAATATTTGGGATAAATGGAAGATAACTGAGCACTTCATCCCGCTTCCCCCCCTCCCTCACTAAAACTCACCCCTCTTCGCCTAGGTCGCCCAGATTAACGAAAACAATGATTTCACGGTCGTCCCGAAAAAAGGTTTCCGAATGTAATGATCCCCAAAATATGGGGGAAATACGTATATACTAAACGGATCCCAGTGATGATTTTTTCAAAGGACAATACGTATTACCTTTCCAAACAAAACGTTATTTTATTTTATCATTTTAACTTTCATGAAACATTATTCTTTTGTAGTCTTTTTCAGTTTTTTTCTGCACGATAATGGCAGAATGAAACAACTGCTCTGTTAATCAAAGATATAAGAGTTGCATCTAGCAGATCTAGTCAAGAACAATGACGTATTCATTTTCTGCAAACGAACGGTTAGAAAAGAAATTACTAGCGGTTTTGGACGAATACTTTTTCTTCACCTGACTTTAAAAATTAAAAAAAAACCGGTCAAGAAAAAAGGGGAAACAAAAACTTACTTTCAATTTTCTTCCTGGTAATTGAGAAGTGACGCCCTCGACTTCCCCAACCAAAAACGTGATCGCAAGAAGAGCGAAAAAGACAGTGATAAGGTGCTTTTTCATTGTTAACAAAGAATTAACTGACAAAACTGAAGAACGTTGCCTCTCTTTAAATAACTGTTTAGGCGGGTAAAATTGAAAGTTGATCCAATGCACTAACGACCTTAATGGGACTCTTTTGGGGTAAAAGTAGAATCCAATTCATGGTCCATTTTCTTGATGAAATAACCTTCTGGTAACCAATCAGGAAGAAAAGAAAACCAAAGGGTAATTCGCTGACGCAGGTTACTCACCAGCAGGTGGTCATTAAGGTATTTTTTCCCATTTATTGGAAATAATGGCCAGTTCAAATCAATGAAAAGGTGCATAAGACACGAGAACTCCATCATGACGTCAGGGTCTATTTTCCGACGCTTCGCCTGGTAAATAAAATTCTGGGAGACGCGACTTCGTAAGAGATACTGATATTAAACCTCCAGCAACTCAGGTTACGCGAGGACATTTAGCGCACGATTTAACCAAGTTCGTGTCTCATTTCTTCTAATTAGACAATGAGATTAGTCGAGTTTGACCGATAAAAAAGAGGAGAAGTATTCTTCGACCAAAATGCCCGAAGCTGGCAAAAAATAACCACATGCTCACAACTTATGAACACTCCATGACCGGCTTTGCGTGGGCTAGTGCTTCTATTAATACTTCACTACTCGATGCATATCATCTCAGATGATTATAGCCAAATGCGTATGTCTCATATGTAATAGGCCGCGACAAAATTCTTAACTTGTTAAGAAGAGAAAGTTAAAAGAGGGAAGCGATTATAAATAATATTTCTCGCAACTGGCGTCAAGACAAAAAAGGACATTTTACTAAGTTATTTACCAAGAGTAGATTTTTTAAAAAGTAATGACAAGACTATTAACTTCGAACAATAAAATGTTAAGGAAAAGCTCTTCTAAACTCAAACATGAATATATTTAAGTGAGTTGTGCTGTTCAACTTTTACTGAAATAAAATAGAGGAGCCCAAATTCACGCTGGCTTTTTAGCTGAGTACTGTAACTCTTCTCAACGCCCTCCTGAAAGGACGGAACAGCTTTTCTCTTGCCAGCAACATAGAAGAGCACAAGAATAGTTTAAAAACCTTTTAAGAATCATATTTTTGTGTAATAGAGTATTTTGAATTTGGTTGAGAGCGCATGCACCTGTCTCACAAATCGTCGTTTTTAAACAGTGTTGCAGGGGTTATTTTTTAGAAAATCCCCCCCCCCCCAAAAAAAAAAAATAAAATAAATACAGTATTACTGTTAAAGCGATGCTTGATAGAATTTAGGCCGTGATCTGATTAAGTTCAACGTTTCGTTTTCTTCTGCTTATACATGTTAAAATTAGCAACATTTTTTTTCTGTAATTTCATTTTGGAATAGGCCATTTGCATGATTACTACTACGACCAGAATCTTTTCCGTTTTTCCTTTTAGATTTTATTTTGTTAATCCCAGTGAAGTTTAAATAACAAAAGCCCTAATTTGCACAAGAAAGCTTTAAACCCCGAAGAATTCTGGTCTTAGTTGTAAAATGACGTCATCGCGCAAATGGCCTGGAGCTCTTCGTGTGTACACGTTGCCGTTGCGAGGGTATGTGGTATTGTTTTTTAAAAAATGCTACTGTGTTTATGAATTCGGATTCATTGGTGTACTTGTATAAGCAGAAGAAAACGGAACATTGAATCACTTGAAGTGATGATGATGATGGCATGAGTTATGCAGACTTGAAACGTCTGTTTAAAAAATTGGATCGAGAGTCTACGTGATGTAACTACTGTCACGAAGTTAAGGAAAAATCAAAATTAACAACTCGAAATTCAAAGGCACATAATTCCTGAATCACTTTCAGTCCTTACAAATAAATGTTTTGAATTGTGCCTGCCCGCATTATTTGATACATTGTTGCGTGCTCGATTGAATAAGGCAGACAGGTATATAATATTTGTAATTTTTAATGCTATTCACCCTCCTCTGGTTGCAAATATGATTTAGAATCACTAGTTTTGTTGAATAAGTTTATAAGATGATCACATGTAAATCACTGTATGTCAAGCATAGCAGTGGATGTTTGTGACAATTATTGTCCTGCAGAAGACTATCCACATTCTATGTTTCATTCGCCGCATTATTGGGGACTAAGAAAGAATCTGTATTTTGCATCATCACGATTTTTCCAATGCAAGTTTGACCTGAGGTTAAGGGGAAAACGCTTTACAAAATATAAAGTAAAATAGTTTTTTTAGAGTGTTTTAGGGGACTCCGCGCAAATTCTTCATCTCCTTCAAAATGTCTTTCTGGATCCATGTCTTCGCAGTAACTGACCCTATCAATTTGCTCCTACGTATTTTCATGTGTATTCAGCAATTTTTTGGTTTATGAAATTTGCTTTCGTATAATGAGTGGGCGTGAAGTCCTAAAATTTACTGAAATCGTTTACTATACGTCAAGGTCTTTTCTTTACGTCATTTGCTGATCGGCTTCAAACACAAGGAAAATCCATAGACTAGCAGCTAGTTGCTAAGGAATGTCATCTTTGCGTTGGTGAGGAATGGAAAACACAAAAATTGGTTTCATCCTTTGAGTTGATAAAATAAACTGACTAGCTTCAGAAGATTCAAAAGCTGAGGTTTCGAGCGTTTGCCCGTCGTCAGAGAGACCATTATTCTGACAATATCCCATACATTTACTTTGATTTCTGCTGTGGTCCCTCCAAAAGAGGGTACAGGCACGGTTTCGCTCACTTTTCGCTTTTGGTCTGTTTAAATGTTCCCATAAACTAGCCAATAGATGCAATTGAATGCAAAAAAAGTCAAAGGAAATCCAAAGCGAGAGCATTTGTCAATAATCAGTGGATCAGTGATATGATACCAGCTTTTTTTCTCCTCCATTTTCTCTGTAAATGTTTTCATTTCGACATCAAGTGAATCGTTTTCCGTTGCAGGGCTGAATACTCTCTTCAAGGTTGTACCTCGTCGTGGAGAACACTTTGAACCAAACAACGAAAAAAACTCTCTCTTTTCCTCCTATTTATGAACAATGAAAAGTAATAAAACAAATAAATAGCAATAATAATAAAAGATAAATTAACACAAAGTCTTAAAAATGGTAAGTGGATAACAATAATTGATAATAATAATTTATTTAATGGCGCAATTTCCATTTTTAATATGCCCAACAGGCGCTTTATACTAAATGTTTTAATTATTAATATTACAATAAATGCTTAAAATAAAGAAATTGATATTACTTGTAAAACGATTAAACTGTTAAAGGACTAATTTCAAAAAAGAAAAAAAACAATAAAAAATAAGTTACAAAGACTAAAATGTAAATGGACTAATTTAATAAAAGCGCTTTCCTTAAGTTTAATTTTTTTTAGGGGTTAAAAATTCTATGAAAGCTTGAATGGCAATGAGCCATACTCGTCTTCACGCGACCTTCAATTATTAATGACGAAGACTGAGATGTGAGAGTGGTATTCTCTCACATTACCACTAATCACTGAGCGCCCACGCTAAGAGGAAAACCTTCTTTGCCTGTTGTATACCTCCGTTGCAGACGTTTTGCAGGGTGTGCGAGTGTTTTTGTTCGCATTATAGCCATGTTGAAATCGCCATAATGAATTGCAAAAGGGCGGAGACATTGGGGCGAGTCAAAGTGAAAGAGGGAGAGGACGAAGAGAGGGAAAAGAATTTTTTCCCTCGCCTCCCCCTCCCTGTCTCCTTCTATCGCCGTAACGCCAAACCGAAGAGCCGATATTTCTACTTTTCCCAGTCTTCCTCAGTGGTTATAAAATCAGAGAAGGCGGCCACGGTATTATGAACATAAACAAGGAGCTTTCGCTCGCCTAAAAATAAGCCTGTAATCTAGGCTACCTGTTGTACTGAACCAAACATTTTCAGCACTGGGGTAGGGTGGGTGAGTCATTGAACATTATACCTGGGCGTTTAACAAATTTGAGAGAGTTCGTCTATGTCTCAATAGTTGTCATCCCTAACGACCACTGGTCTAGTGGACTCGTGTTAGTTTTTGCCTCAAAGTTCATTTTGAGTGTTGTAAATGCGATTATGATAAATGATGGCGATCGCATTGATCACAACTATAAATTTCTATACTCTCACCTTGGAGCTAGCAGTTGATTCTCTGTTCGGTACAGCCGCAATCTTGGTCTTATTTTTGATGTTTATGATGAAAGCTACAAAAGTGTACTCCATAATGGAACCAAACACAAATATCAGACAGAAAAGTAGGTACCAGTCTATCGCTTTTACGTAGCTCACTTTTGGAAGCGAGGCGCGAGCACTGGAAATGAGTGTCGTCATCGTGAGAACTGTTGTAATTCCAAGAGCCACTCGCGCAGGCGCAGTATCGGGGTTTATCCAGAATGAAATCCAGCTGATGATGACGATGATGGTAGACGGAACGTAGGTATCAATCAAAAAGTAACCAATCCTGCGCTTCATCTTAAAAATGGCGATCAAAGAGGAGTGATTACCTACAGTGGCAAAACAAAATTTTACAATAAGTGAGCGATTTCTCGCCCACTGATTGGTGGAGAACTATGTTCGAATTTTGTTTTGTGTACTCTTATCGACCATAGAAATGACGTCAAACGGGGCCGGTTATTTAAACGAAATTTTTAATAAACGGAGTTTTAAGTACAGTGGTGCAATGCTCTGGAATAATCTTTCTTGCGAGGAAAAAACAGCACAATCGCTTTTCGAATTCAAAACCAAACTTGCCTCTTTGCCTTCTGCTGGATCGCTCTGATTCCATAACTTGTATGTGTATGTATTTCAAACTTATACTAGTTACTCTTCCAAGCTCCCACCATCATATATTGTAAAACCAGCTACATTGTGTACATTGTTACGTAATTAATTGTTCTCTGAAATTTTGTAACGTTTGTGAACATCATGCTGCTTCTATTTGTTTGCAATGTGTGTTTGCCTACGTCTCAGCTGGAAATCAGCTTTTGCTGTGTGTAGATAAGGTAGTGAAATAAATATGTTGACTTGACTCGGACTTGACAGAGTTTAACAAAACCGCGTTCTAAGACATTTTCATTTTATTTTCCAGAGCTTTTATCTAAACGCTATTTAACAGTTTTATGAAAACACGTGCTGTAGACTGAAAGGCACTTATTTTTTTAAAATAATTCACTAAGAAAGAGATCTGGAGGTACAAAGATTTCTTAAACCGTGGCCTAAGTTAGAGGTCGTTCAAATAACAACCCTAAATGTTCAAAACTTTTCAGTAAAACCACTCACCTAGAGTGGCAAATAAAAACATATATTTTGCAATTTTATTGGGCTTTTATTGTGAAACTCACGAAACCCTGAATACCACGAATATTTCTGGAATGCTACTGTGTTGCAAGGGGAAAGCCAATCAGGCAAGAGAAACACTAAACCGCAAACAGCGACGGAAACTAGACCCTACCACGGGTTTTTTAAATTATAAAAAAGTTAGCGAATAACCATCGACACTGCGAGAAAAAGCACCTCAAGATTAGAAAATTAGTATTGCTCCACAAAGTCACGCAAATTTTATTGACGTTTGTATGGTGGGGGGCCCGAGCTGCCCCAACCTTTCCCCCCTCACCTCCCCCCCGCCCCCCTAACCACCACCATACAAACGTCTGTAGAAATGCCCGATTTTGAAGAGCTATGTCCTCGCTAAGTTTTTTAACAAATCACTCTAAGGTGTTCTTTCCAGCTAACTTGTCCCTGCCAAATAGATCGTGATTTCTTACCTTATTTTCTTCTGGCTTGCTTTTTGTTGCTCATTGTTGTGTGATAAAAGCAATAACTTCATGCAAAAAATGATTTAGGTGTGTTTACCTATATTGTATTCGTTGATATCCGAGGTTTTCTCAACACCAGCTAACTCGAACTGAGGAAGTTCCACCTCCTTGTTAACGTATATTGCAGATGTATTATCATCTCGTGGATTCCATTTGTACAACAAGTCTGTTGTCTGGTAACCATCTAACAGAAAAACAGAACTGTTACTCCACAAACGTTTTATGAATAAGTGAACAAATTTCAGCCGGACATATTTAAACAGTCAAATCCTTATTACAAGTAAGAAAATCATGCTACATTTTACTTGTACGTCTGCTCCGCTTTTGTCCTTGCGTAGCGGTTATCATAGCGTTTTTCTGCCCCCACCTTTACTGGGTTGAGTATATATCTGATTAAATTGTATTTGCTGATTCATAGAAAATTTATTATTCATTAAATCGGCTTTTGGCCTTGTTCTTAGCCAGCCATTTCACTCCAAGTCTATTGTGTCTCTTTTTGCTTGTCATTGCCCAGCAAACAAACGCGGGTATTGAAGCCTAATAACAAATAGTCATATTTTTATTACCAGGTGATCTCGTCATCCAAGTTTGATAGTGATTAGTATTATAAATACTGTATGGCTGGGGTGAAATTTGCTACCAGGAAGAGTAGAATTTTACCGGCTATTGGCCTTTTACATCGTAACATGTAGCCTGACACCTACACCGAGTTCCTAAGCACGGAGTAAAACACGATACAGTTAAAACTCCATTAAGGGGCTACCTATTAAGCGGTCACCCTCTATTAAGCCGCCAGTAATGGAAGTCCCGAAAAATAAAGAATGGGAAATTAAACCTCTATTAAGTGGCCATCTTCTAGCCGTCCCAACGAAAGAACTCCCACTGTTGTCACCTCTAATAAGTGGGATTCGCACTCCCTCCTAAACATAATGACCGAGCGCGTAGCGAGAGTTCGTCATTCTAAAGATGGCCAAGGCGCGAGATTTAATGCACCTTACAATAGGCCACTTGCACTAAGAGGTCACGTGACCAATGCTTCCTTTAAACAATGAGTTGCAATCTTGCTGATGCCAAAAATTGACGAAGCGCATAAAAATTATCTTACACCCGAATTCTGCGAGGAAACGCATTTAAGGGAGATATTTTATGGCACTTTGACTTTTCAACAAAGTAGTATGTTTTGTATTGGCCGCCATGTTGGAGGGTATACTCTTGCCCTCCAACATGGCGGCCAAAACTACTTTTTGCTTGTATCTTGTCAAACGTTTGATAGTTACGCTCAGATATACTGAAACCGTTACCACATCATAATTTCAACAATTTCGTTGAAGTTTAAGTGCAAAATTTCTGTTCAGAAAGAGGTAATTCATAGTTTTGAAAAAATTACATTTTGGTCGCGTGACTAGCTACGAATTTACAAATTTTCAGAAAATGGTGAGGGTTTGAAAAACTAAATCAATATTATTTTGTTGAAGATATGACCCACTAATGGTTTTTTGAATGTAAAATCATATAACTTTTATTTTCATAAAAATGATGTCACATGAACTCTTAGTGCAAACGGCCTATTGTTTAAGAACCAGCAGGTCATTATTGTCTTCACTGAAGGGGAGCATTTAGTCATTTTTAATGATTTCCGGTTCAACTTAAATGGCCTGCTTTTCAATGCACTAAATTTAACACAGTGGAACCTCCATATAACGGTCCTCTATATAACGAAGTCCTCGGTCAGTAACGAACGATTTCATTTACCCCAGTAATAGTAAAATATATGGAAAAGAACCTCGATATAACGAAGCCGGTCCCTTGGCCCTTCGTTAAATCGAGGTGTCGCTGTAACCCGTTCAATATAATGGAAGGGTGAATTAAGATAGGATAGACTTAACGACATTAAGTCTAATACAGTCATAAATGTCAACTTACAACTCTCTAATTCCAATGTACACTTCTGGATGTCATGAGGGAATCGACGCAAATTCAGTTTACATGACATTGTTATAGTCAACCTGAAAGGAAGGATAAGCCTTGTGAAAGCTAGAACTGTTGGCTTGACTTTATGTTTGTTTAATTTGTACCTGAAAAAAGAGTTTGCTTAAAAAAATGTTAGCTGCAAGGGGATGTCTAATAGTAATGAATCAGTAACACATCATCAAAGTTGCATTTATGACTCCAATAATTTACTTTGCTTCTTCTAGGCTTACATGCTTGCATTGTTTTTTTTTTGTTTCATTGACAAATCTATCTCCCTTTAGCCTCCTTTTCGAAAAAGTTACTTGCGCTCAAAGTAATAAGTATCAGTAGTCATACCCACGGTGTATTACTGTATTTTTATCAATTTCATTTTATTATACTTATTATTATTATTATTATTATTTGAATTCTTATTTAATCATATTTGTAATACTTTTTAATGTGTGCATATACGAGTCAGTTTACATTGATGAATGGCAGCCCCAGAATGGGAATTCAGTTTTCCCCTGCTACTATCGCGTCATCTTGTACCTATGTACGGACGGCGGTAAAAAATCATTAAACTTAAATTTAAACTTATCTATTGAGCTTACGAAGCAAACGTGAACCGTTAATTTTGTAAAACGTTTCGCTTCGAATTGGAATGATATTGTGTAAATGACCTCTTGCCGGAGTGAGCAGCCCTTTTCAAAAACTGATATTTCTTACCTTATACTGTAGAAGATGCTTCCATTCGGCGAGATCTGTAAGAGATAGTTTTCTGTGGTCACATCGTGCATGTAAGCCCTCTTGGTCCTTAAGAAGTACGTACTCGGAATCCAGATCTGTTTATTGATATTACTACTCAGGGTCAAAATAGGGTCAGACGTCAGATGACCAAACGCCAACCGTTCGTCTGTCCAATACTGGCGTAGGTATATGTCGATCGTAAAATCCTGCAAACCGTCACAACAACCGTTTGAAATCAAAGAGCAGAAACACATGATACACTATTTAGCCTTCTTGATCACTTAGTTAGTTTGCGGGATATTTCATAAATGCATTGAAAGGCTAATGGTTTAGTCTACCATTCTGACATTGCCCAAAAAACACCTTGTTTACCCTGCCCATAAAAATTGTTTTCAGTTTCTCCTGGGTATAAAAACTGTCCGAAGACAAATTGAAGACAATGCTTAAGCAGAATTTTGGGCGATCGACAACGTGTACTATATGAGCACTGGAAATAGTGAAGGACTAGAGTGTGTTTGAGGTATTTTACTTCCAGTGATAGAAACGACAACACCGGCAACAGCAACACTGAAAACAAGCAACAAAAACAACAATAACAACAACAACTGAACTAAGGGAAGAACGCATGACGGCGGATTACTTTTGATGAAGCAATCTATTCAGTATATTAGATTTTATGAATACAGAGTAATAGTTCTTTCTAATGAATGGCCAAAATGGCTCTGAGGCGGAACCTTCCCGACCAGAGGGTGGGTGAAAATCCTAGACTATGAAATTATTGTTACCATCTTAACTTCTTCCATTGCCCAAATGTTAGCAACATACATATCAACACGGACCTCTTGAGGAGAACCTAAATTAACAAGAAAAAAAGAAATGAATGGATAAAAATTGAAAATGCTCATCAAATGAAATGGAGTGCTTTAGAGGGTCAATAAACTTTCCTCCCTCCTCTTTAGAGACTCCTACTGGTTCTAAAAAGAAACCCCTAGTAGGAAAATTTGGTGAGTGCGAGGGGAGAAACGCCGTCCCTTCCGCCAGAGGTACAAACAGGCCTTTCCGTAGGAGACAGACAAGCGTCCGGATAATTCAGGATGGCGATTAAATCTTATAGACGAAGGCTCAAAAGCTCCCGCCGGTTTTTCGCTTAACAAGAGCTTGAGCGACCCACCATTGTCTCAAATCTTCTTTCCTTGCTTTGATTAGCTCATGCAGGGGCGAAAAATAAATCTAGAAATAGAGGCTGAAGAGTTAACCGGCCGTACGAAATGGACGCCAAGCGTGATACGCTTGTGAAGGGGTTAAGATATTTTAACGCCTTGCTGATTTCACAGTTTTTTTGAATTGGGATGGTAGTCTTCAGTGTTAGGTGAAATATTCCTATTTTTTCGGCATTTGCTTGGTCCTTAGTGATGCCTTCCCTCAAACAGAAATTAAAGTTACCTTTCACTCCAGGTCTAATTCTCCTGTCGTAATCTTTCAAAAGAGTTTCAACAATCCAAGTGGAATTCTCATAAGCGCTGGATTTGAATTGTCCTGACCTTTTGCAAAAAATATAACAACAATACTTAAACAATTCAAACCCACTAAAAGGCGCTTTAAAAAAAATGATAATAATAATAATAATAATAATAATAACAATAATAATGATGATGATAGCTATCATAATGATAATGATAGCAATAATGATAATAAGAATGGATTGATAACTTTAAACGGAGAAAAAGCGTACCAAAACCAGGAGGTTGTTTTTTCCATTATTAGACGGTCTTCAACATAATCATTCTATCTTTAACAGCCTGCGTAGAGGGCGTTTTTAGGCGAAAGCTAGAACTAGAATCCAGAACGTCTTTAGCTTCATTTTTGGCTTTTATTTCAACACTCACTTGAAAACGTTCGCATCTAACTCACACGGAAATACTAGTACCACATAGGTTTCCTTTTTTTTTTTAATTCTGTCGAAATCAATAAATTTCCCGATTCATTTGAAACGAAGGTTTTTTTTTTGTCATTCGATCTTTGGTTCTAGAAAAAAAATCATTTTGGGCCTTGAGGACGTTCACATCTACGGAGCACTTTGAGGTTTGCACCTTTGACAAAACATATGTTCGTGTTTGTCAATAACTAGATTTATGGAAAGTTACGTACACGTTAGTACCCTACCTACTTTGTATTTGTACTTGTTTCAGAACCCGAGCTCAAACTAGTGCGTGAACAATTTTGTGAAATTGGCATTGACGACGCACTTATTAAACGGGATTTTATATTTGTTTTGTTAATCATTAATATGGAACTCTATCACACTGTGCAAGGTTATTCAGTGTGGTATACAGCTATTTCGAGAAAGGTTGTCGGAAAAAGTGCACGCTACAATCCCGAAAGGCATTGTGGGTGGTTTGAAGTTCACTGTTCTTTAAAAAAAAATTGAAAGAATTGGTACGAAAGGCCGTGGAAATGTGTTTGCGAGTGCTACAGGAAAGCAACAAAAGTAGGTTCGACAGGTACAGTCGTCAGAAACAGAGTATTGATCATATCCCATATTACCTTTCGGGATTGTCGCGTGCACATTTTTCCGACAACCTTTCTCAAAATAGCTGTATGTGATATAAAGCGATACTTTTTAAAGATTTACAGTGAACAATAGAGATATACTGTATATTACCGTTTCATCTGCATGTTTTTGTTACGTTTGCATGGTTAAAACCTTGTTGCCTTTACGCTTACAAAACTAATTTCGTGCAAATCGTAGCCTTTATTTCAATTAAATAAGATTATATTAATCCACCAATTCAGGTGTAATCGATACCTGTCATTATCTCGTCTACAAAGGCGTATATTAAAACAAAGATAATAATCATTTCGCAATGCACGAACTTCGATCGATTGGGTCGTTGAAAATTTGCGCAATGAAATTGCCCAGGATCCTTCCAGCGAAAATCAATTATTGCGTGAAAAGAGTAAAGACAGCGACAAAAAGGAGGAATTATTGGTGAGATTTTTTCTCAGGAAATTTGAAATCACTCCTGGTAGTGAAAAAAAAAGAGTATTCAGCTGCAACAAATACGTTATTTTCAAAAAATCGATTACATGATTGCAGTTTGGTAAAACCTTTTCCTCTGTAAAATGATAAAAAGGGTCAATCCTGGATACTTTTTTGTTTGGTTTAAGGCTAACTAAAAGAGTTAAGATACAAAGTTGATTGGCCTCAACTGAACATATTAAGGATAAATCAATTTGCATCATAACTATGTCTATATATTCACATGTTATATTTGTAGCCTGAGGTCAATCACACAATTTTGTGGTTTAAAAGATTACAACTTTTCGTAAGGTTAAATATTTAGTTTTGAAAAAAATAAATATTTGTGTGTACTTAATATCTGGTAAAATACAGAAGCTCCTGGCAGTGATTGTGGCAATAATATGTGCATTATTTGGGTATTTTTGTCATCCTAACTCTGTGTCCTTTGCTACGATCTCAGTCAGGGCCTAATCACGATACATTACTAGTCTTACCGGGCTGATCTAGTTCGCCATGAAAAGCGGAATAGCCAACAGGCCCTGGTTTTTCGAAACGAGGATAACGCTCAGAACGCTATCTACTTGATAAATCTCTATGTGGATAATGCAATTATGCATTCTCGTTTTATATGGTGGATAGCGCTATCCAACGTTTGATCAACCGGGGCTAGGTTGCCAGTGGTCTCAAGAAATGTTAAGACAAAACATGTCAAATAGAAAAACAAAAAAGGGTATTTTTTTGGCCATAAAAGCCTGGACTCACCTCGAATTGTTGAAATGAAGCTGATTGCTTGAAGCAACGAAAATCACCAAAAGAACCAAGACAGCTTGAAGTTGGTCATGTTTGTATATCATTCTCGTAATCTTGATTTTGTAAGATTACTGCAATGAAAATAAGCCTTCTAATGTTAGACAGAGATAAGGTTTAAGACACAACATGCTATTGGATCATGGATATCTGTATGCATATCGTGATTGCACAGATCATTGCCAAGAGTTCTTTTGCCATTGTTGTGGTTCCAAATTTGCACATCAAATGAAGCGCAATAAAAAAAGCAATATAATGCGAAGTGACGGACACTAGGAAGGGCAGGCTGCTCGTCATATTATTTTTCTATATATCTATTATTTCATCCATTCATTCATTTTTATGTTCATTTATATCTTTTTAAATTACCAAAACAAAAACAATGCAGAACAACAACATGGGCATAAAAAAAACCAACAACAATAACAACAAATTAAAGTTCGGAGATGATGTTTCGACCTTAAACTTAAACGGCGAAGTGATTCCCTTTCCTTCATAAATTATTGACACTTGTAATGGCAGCTTCGATTCATTACGGTGTCTGAAGGAAATTAGTAAAAAAAAAAATTCTTCTAGTTAGGAAGTCTGTAGATAGAATCAATTATTCATAACCTGTAAGCAGTCTAGCAAAGAAGAATCTCTTTTTAAAAGGCAAGGTGATACTTTGGTCGGTCTAATTTTTTTTCTTTTACTCTCCCTCCTTTTTCATTTCACATAAACGTTCGTTTTCCTTTTTTTAATAAAGGAAAAACTCTATTTCGGTTAAATTTCTGAGACTTGGTGCCGCTCAACATTATCATTTTTCCGCCAGGGTGTGGCTAACTGAATGTTTTTGCAAGTTGTGTTCACAAGCGTATTAGTGAGTGCCCCCGCAAAATAACAAAATTAATTAAAATTTCATAGCTTGTAGAGTTTAGCCTGCGTCGTTAAAAAAGCTGGTAACGTCGGCCGTGAACATATTTTTCATTCTAAGATTAACAATATACGTATTTCACAGGACAGTATAATAAAAACAAATTGCACAAGTACTACTTAATAAATAAAAGAAAAACTAGAATTATCAACAACTTGACATTTAAGTTGCCAAACTCTTATCGGTGCGTAAAAAGTATTTTAAGTTAGAAGTATTTTAGAAAACAAATTCGAAATGTGCATCGATCATTACACCAAACGTTTATCTTGAAAACAAAACATTTGCCATTAAACTTACCACACAATTGAAGATTTTAAACGCGTTTGGGTATACAACGAGTAGAGATTTCATTTTTAAGTATCACGGCGTTATATTTACATCAAAGGATTCGTTTTAAGTGGTTTCATGATATTCTGCCTCGATCTCTGCGGGAAAAAATACCAGCGGAACAAAACGTCTTAGTGATGCGTTGAGTAAACAACAACTTGCCTTTATGAAAAGACACAGCGCACTTAATCTGAAGTTCATCAGTGGACATAAATAATATATGCTTAGATTTAATGTTTTTAAATTTATCTTAAACAGGTAGATAGCAAGTTGAAGGGTCTTAGAAAGTTATTGCCTGAAGAGAGAATGAATACAGCACTTGCTGTTTAATGGAAATATTGCATCATCAAAAACATCCTGGGGTGTAAAACTGTGGTTGTGTAGGTTCAATGAAGGTACTCTAGCTTAAGGACGATTCTGGCAAAATTGGAATTGTGCAAAATTCATGAACTGTAAAACTTTTATTGATTATAGGCAGAAGCTGTTTGTTATATTTATAAGGCAATGGCTGCATTTGTGTTGAAAATTTGTTTTTAAATAACGAAACTTCTACTGGACTTTCAAGTCAGTGTATAACAGCCAAAAATTAATTGTACCTCTGTTTCTAACTTAACAGCTTCTCCCGCCAAATTTTGTCGCTCAGATGGCTTTTGTCTAGTGTCTACGGCTTCTTTATTGTGGAAAATTAAATCTTGAGTAAATTGCTTGATTCCAGTCTCCTCTTACAAGCACATTTTTTTTTTCAGGCTCAAGATCTTTCAAGAAAAAATTGGTTATGCTATAGAGAGAATGTGATCTGTGAATCTGGCAATATAAAAAAAGTTTATGGGAAGCCGTATCATTTCAATATTTACAAAAGAGCACTTTTGAAGTGACCTTCAAAGCACCCCAAACACTTTTTTAGTCACTGAAGGATTAAATTTAAGTGCTCGATATAATCTGTTTTTCAAAGTCTTTAATGTTCAAGTAATGGCAATATATAGACCTTTCACAAGTATACACTGTTTTAGCTTACTTTCAAAACACAATAAATAAAACATGCTGAATTGACTTTTTTTTCTCATTGTAAGAAAGTATTACTTTCAGGAAGATCAGTATAAACTCTCTAAGAACATATTTACTATTAAAACCACAGTTCAAGCAGTGAACTAATAAGCGAATTTCCGTTCTAGAATACGAAAGTCGAACGGATCTGTGTTGTGTATTATGGCAAATTCAGCTCTGGTGGGACATATTACGGTTTGAAAATTAATTTAACGAACGAGCGTTACAAAAACCATAAAAATAAATCTCATGCGAGGTACAGTAATTAAAAGACAGAAATACGGGGTTCTGTTTAGGGTTTTCTGCTTATAAACAAACAGCTTATTGTCGGAAAAAAAGCTCCCCGGAATTCCTGACAAAATTGAACCAAAATAATTTACACAATGTAAATAGACTTGTGATTAATCAGAGTATGCTTTTTCTACATTTATGCCTTCTTTATTCTTAT